AGTATTGGGGGATGGGGGAGGGGGCTAGGCTAAATAGCTACTTGTCAGAAAACAGATTCAAATTCTTACTCAAACATCTAAGGACAAGACCCACTTGAATTCCTCCTCTGCCACAGAAATTTCACTTGGTGAGCTGCCCTGCATAAATCTGCACGTAACACACTTTTCCAGCAGGCAATATTTTGTAAGGCTTAGTATCTGACAGATACAGCCCTTTCAATGAAAACAGTATGAAACTGTCATGATTGCTTGAGCAGACATCACTGACAAAAGGAAATTTGTGCCTGAACTGTTGCTGCAGAATTATTTCAGGCAATATTTTTTTCAAAGAGAATATAGATCTGGAGGGACATTGCCAAGGTTTTAAAGATCAAAATGTGTGACTTGCAGTGTTATAATTGGATGGGAACAGTCCTCCAGATCTGAAACATCGGGTTTGGTTTGGTTTTTAAATCAAGCACCACATTTGTAGGATTTCTGTAGGACCTATACATCCCAGCATCTGTTTCTCCCACTCGGTAACGGTGAGCTCTGCTGACAGAGCCAATGAGTCCGACAGGGGTAAGCAAATCCCTTCTGACATGACAGAATGTTACACAGTCAAACACTGCAATTCACATGAGAAAACAACAGACTGCTTCAAATCTAACTCTATTGGAAATGCAGGGCTCGCTTTAAACTCCCATTTGCCGAACGAGAAGCAGACCAATTATCCATTCTCTTAAAGCAGCGCTACAGAAACAAAGGCAGTACTCGGCCTCTGGCGGTATTTAAGGTAAAGTAACCAGGAGGAACCACGCTGTCTCCTTGCCAGGATGAGGGGTCACACTCCAGCTCGTGAGCAGGGCAGGGCTCCTGCCCGGCTGCTGGAACGGCGTTGGCCAGGCTGCAGGTTCAGCCCTTGTCCTCCTGCAGCGACCCGCCACTCAGCACCCTCCCCGCATCCCACCCTCTCCTCTCCCACCCACTGCCTCCTCCCCTGACCATCCAAGGGCCCCCTGCCCTATTCTGGGAGGGCACGGACAGTGTGGAGGAGCCCCAAGCTAGCTTTCCTCCTGCCAGGACCACGTACCGCCGTCTACCTGAAACCAGCCCGGGGCTGCGGCTGGGACCACAACCAGGTTTGGCACTGGCAGCTGTGATGCTCTCAGAGACCTCACAGACATCCGACTCCTGTGACAAGGGTCCCTGAACCCTTCCTAACATCACCCCACAATGAGTGTCTGGCCATGGTGGCAGGACCCCCAGGCCTTATGTGGTCTGTGTCACCTCAGACATGACATCGTGGCATCCATCGCCCTCCAGCTCCAGCCTGAAGCGGCCATCCCAGCTCACCCGCCGGGCAGTCGGCACCCCGCGGCTGTCCCAGGTGTCACCCCTGCAGAGACACCTGATGTCCCTGACCCCCATCAGCAGCATAGCTGGGACCTCCGGCATCCCTGCGACAGACTTGCTTGCAATTTTCATCAGTGAGGGAGGGGAAAAAAAAAACAACCAACCAAAAAAACAGGAGGAAATAAAGATGCTCTCCAACTATTTTTAGTTCTGCATAGCCCCTCTGCACTAAGATAAAAAATAGAGAAGATCGGGGGGGGGGGGGGGGGTGGAAATCACCCAGCACAATTCACCCCTGATGCTGCAACACATTCATGCTAAAATTATAGAAGTCCACTTACATTTCTGATGTTTAAAATAGCTAGCACAGTGCTAGGGCATGTTATTTTGCTCTCCTAATGCATACTAAATATGTTCTACTGAGTAAAAATATAGCAAGTTAAACTCAGTGTTTCCAGCAGGGTAAAAAAAAAACTTCCCCCCCCCAACACTTTACCAAGACCAGCTTCCAAAAGAAAAAAGCTTGGATTAAATCCTTTTAAACAGGTATAACAGTCAGTATTTGTTTCTGGAAGGGATAAGTAAACCCAAGGATTTCGTACCAAACCTGGACAAAATACTACATCTATAAATTCCTAAAGAGATGCCGTTTCCTAATTTCACCTCTAGTTTGAAACACAGCCAAACACAGAAACGCAGACTTTATCAAGAGTGGCTGTCATGAGGAGAAAGCCAGCTAACTTCTCCCAACTAACTTCTCCTCTAAAGTAACCTGAGCAGTCTCTCAGAAAGGGAAGGCATGTGACAACCTGCAAAATATATTCACCTCACTGATTAACACCCCGGAAAACCTCAGCTGACAGCAAAAAGCCACTTCCCCTTCTGCAACCCCTTCCGATCCTTTCTTCTTCACCCTCCCCAGGGGCAAAGCCCGTTACCTGGCCAGTCAGGGTGAGGTTCAGCCTCTGCCGAGGCACGCTGATTATTCACAGCAGAAGCAAAAAACACTGGGTGCGAATGTAACCATGGCCCCGTGTGGCACCTACATCCTCGGCACAGGTACCCATGCTGTGGTGCAGCAGCACCGGCTCTACCCGCCACGCCAGCAGCTCCAGGTGCCAGCGGGAGAATGGGGCTGTGGCACGACACCGGCTGTGCACTGCACTGGCATCTCCCATCTCCGCGCCCAGCCACACAAAATCCAAATCTGGCTGCGCACACACGGGAGGGTAAGATGACGTTGTCGACTTCTGGTTAACCCGCGTTTCAGGATGTCGCAAGGGCCTCTGTCGCAGACAGATCTGTCAGCCCACCAAAATTATAAAGGTGACAGTGTCTGCTGAACTCCGGCTGGTCTCTTAATAACTGTGACTCACGGCTGGGACTCATCTGCTCTCAGCAGGAGCCTCCGTACCTGCAAGCACACCCTCCCAACGCTGAAAAGATGGAGAAAGCACAGCGTTCAAACACACATGGGTAAATGAATGAGAACATCTCCATCAGAATTTCCAACATACGAACGTTTTTAAAAGAGGAGCTTTTTGACGTGGATGCCTTTTATCCAGAATACCAATACCTACATCTTTGCAGGTAGCATCTGCCCTGACTTGGCTATGAAGTTTCACAGGCATTTCAGGCCATCATCTCTGTGCTTTCAAAACTTATCATCTTGTGCCCTATTCCTGTGCTTAGTTTCCTAAGAAGAGTCCCAAGTAACTGGATGATATCTTCCTCCTTCTTAGTTTTGGTTCACTTTGCAAATGATACTTGCCCATAACAACGGAGAACATTGACTGGAACACAGCTCCAAGGACATGCCTGGGGAATTGAGGAAACAGGTGCAAATTCACACCCATCTCAGACCACACCAAACTTACCAGCTCTCTCTGCAGTGGCTCCCATGCATGAAGAGACCTGGGAACTCACTGCAGACGGGTGTCCCTGTTTTCAGAGCCACAGCTAGTTCAGTGTTTCCGTAGAGCAAGTGCTTTCCTCTGCAGGAGACACTCCACAATCCAAGAAAGAGAGGTATTCTTTGAAAGCTGGAGTTATTTCGAGCTCCAGGCTATTAGGACTACCAACAATTAACATCCTAAAGCAGTTGTCTGCCCTGTCTGCTCCCGGAACATATGGCACAACCAACATATAAAAATTTTGCTGAGGGATCCCGATTCATCTAACTGTAACTCATTGAGAAAGTCATAATTAAAATATTTTTAAATGGGCCACCACCGAAGTCTGCAGGCAAATACCCAATTTTATATGCATGTTTACAAATACCACAGCTGTCTATATGTTCTATATGCTCTATCTCTACTTAAAACGAACTAGTCATGGCCAAGCTGCTGATGTACATGCTTTCCTTCAAACTGGTGAGTAAATCCAACGGATTCGTTCTCACCTCTAACCTGCATTTAGGGAGATATGAACACAAAGCATGTCAGCACCTGTGCAATCCCTCTGGATTTGGGGTTCCAGATTCATGGATGTGCTAGCAAAGGCGCCTTAAAATCAGTTCTGGTCACTCTTTCAGCACCTGGAAATCCCTACAGACGGCGGTGCTGACGCAGCTGTCCTATCTCAACTGCCTCCTGTGCACTGCCTTTAGGGATTGTGCACTGTAAGCCAGCACAGTGGCCAGCACCCACTGAAGCACCTTCCCAGGCAGCTCTAAAGCATTTGATTGCCTGGGCCAACATCTTGCATTTACACAGCATCCCAAGCCTAGAATACCCCAAATCACTTTGAAAGCTTCATGGGTTTGACATGTCTGTTGGTAAAGAGCACAAAGCACCCACCGCTGAGATGCACCAGACTTTTAGTAACAAATCCCAATTCTTTCGCCTTGCCTAGCAGCAGCAGTCAACAGTCAGTGGCAGGAAGTAAAAACATAACAATAATAATTTGAAAACACAGAAGAAATTTAGATGCCTGAGGCAGGCTTTGGCCAACACACACTCCAGATGAGTATTTGGGAGATTATACATTAAAACTGACATTTCCCTTCTGAATAAAAATATTCCAAAGTAGCTATTTCAATCTTCTGCAAAGAACAAGAAACACTAAAAAGCTCCTTTCTGTAGGAATACGTTTTCCTCTTGCCTTCCTTGACTGTCTCCAAAAGAACCAGGATCAGTTCTTTCCTGCAGACACTGCTAGTTAACACATGCACCCAGAGTACAGGTAGCTATCAAATAAAATTGTTATAAAAAATCTGCCAAATCAATACAGAATCAATCATTTTCTTCATGGGAGAAAGGTGTGCCAGTCACGCCTCTTCCATTTTTGTCCTCAACCCATTCCTGTAAAGATAAGACATCAGCACAAACCAGCTCTCGCAAATGCCCCACTTCCCAGAGGTCTGTCTGACCTGGTTGCGGGATCTGGTTTCGAATGCGAACAAAAATGTAGATTGAAACGTCCTGTTGCTCTCTGGACCTCCAGTTTGCCCCTATGTGTTTTAAATAACTGTTTACCTTGGTTCCACCTGAACAGTTACACAAAATGAAATAAGGTTGAAATAGTCCAGGTAGCATGTGACAGCTGAGTCAAGCACAATGGTCTCTTCCAAAGTGGTACAAACCTCTTCCTAACCTGGAGGAGAAAATAAATCAGACTGATCCCAAGAAACAGCTTGTCTGCAAAATGGGAGATGCTTGTGCACATCACTTGCATTGTTCATGATCTCTGTAGTCATCCATGTCCACATCTGAATCAAAGAGGGAGTGTCCAGTGTAATCTGTGTCAGGGGTTTGAGAAATACTGTTCCCTTCCTCATCAAATGTTTCTGTCCTTGAATAAAAACTGAAGTCCTGCAAAGGGGAGTAAGTCTTGCTTGCTTCGCTGCTTTCCTCAGATTCATACAGAGTGTTATCATCATCATGGTGCCATTCTGGCCAAAATTTCCTCCTTATTCTTTCACAATACATAGCAAGGTTTATCAGTTCACCTGCAACAGAGCACAACAGACTCCAGTGAATACATCCAGTCAATAATGCTCTAACTCACCTGCTGATGCAGAAACATGTTAGCACTGTTTGGAAACAAATTGTGCAGGTTCTTTCCAAAGAGGTTTCAAAATTCCAAGATCCCATCAATCCTCTTAGCTGCTCTGTAACTTTCATGTAACTTAAAACATATATTATTAACCTGCATTCAACAAGAAGGGTTACACTGGAATGAACAGAAGTGCATGTAGCAAAGTAACTATCCCAAATTCAACCTCCACAGAAATAAATCAAAACAAGATACTAATACTGTAGGGTTTTCATAATAAAATTTTTGCTTATTTTGCAGAAACCTGGTTTCTAAAGACAGAATTTGATCCTATATATACACAATACATTCATCAAAATACAGTGAATTTGGGTTTTCCACCACCAGATGGCAGCATTGTCTGCAAGATCAATTCACATTTTAAAGTTTTTATATGGTCACTGGCTCACCGGCTCACCCCTAATGCTCCTAGCCTTAGTACCTTATGCCTTATGTTTATACATACATGTATGCTTAGAGTATGCTTAGAGAAGGAATTACGAAAAACTTCAAAGAACAAAGAAATAATAGCATATTAAAGGGAATAGGTATGCGAAACCTGCACTCACAATAGCATGAGTAGGTGGATGCGTACAGAGAATCATCCATACTGCTTGGGTATTTGCATCTATTACCATCTATTTATTTTCGTTAGAGACAAACTAGTTCAACAAACATAGCAGTCCTTCTTGAAAGCCATGGACCCTTCAGAATTT